CTCATTCTCTTAAGTCACTCCTATCTCAGTCATCACGTCTTTCGTACCTGTAATTAGTGGCTGTAACAGCGTCTGCCCAGAGGGGGCGATAGCGGTGAACCCCAGTGTTGCCAGGGGCGACTGGACATAGGCGGAGCCAGGAGGAGGAGGGACCTGTTGTGGGGAGGAGCCCGTCGTCGTGGAGACGATTGGGAGAGGGGTGGGGACACCGGGAGCCGACTGAACATAGGTGATCCTGAGAGAGAAAAGACAGCGTGAGGAGGCAGGGAGAGACTGGCCAGCACGAGCTGACATCGAAGGTCACGGCTGTGGTTAAGAGGGGTGCTGCGGACCAGCAGGGGGCTCTCTTCTCTCTGCACCAGAAATTTAGAGTCCACTGCACTACCAGAGGACCGGGGACAGTGTGCTGGAGGAGGCAGTGAGCACTGTGTGAGAGCGGGCTCACTCCACTTGGACTGTCCAGTCAGGCCTCCCTGAAGCTCCCCTGGTGTCCCCCAGGTGGGGCTGTGCCTCACCGTGTGGGGAACACTGAGAGCAGGGGTGCAACGGGTTTGCAAACGTAGCTGTACAGCCGGGACTGTAGCTGTTGTGCGGTTGTGTAGCTGTTGTGCGGTGCGGCAGTGTACCTGGTTGCCGGGGGAGGCAGGAGCACGGTCTGGGAAGGGGCCGAGACGGGCGCCATCACCGCTGCCGTGCCCATGGAGACGGGGAAGGGGCTCCCAGGATGCACCGCTCCTCCGGAGGAGAGCTGGGGCTGAACGACGGGCATGGGCGCGATCTGGATAATCTGGGGGGGGACAGCGAGCGAGACGGGCCTTACTGCCGCTGGACCGGGCCTCCAGGACAGCCAGCAGAACAGCGCCACAGGACCAGGGGCCCCGGCGCGGGTCAGAGGTCAAGGGACATCCGGGTACCTTGCTTCCTGTTTGCGCGCCATTCTGCACAGGAAGAGGCGGGGCCACCAGTGGGAGTGTCTGGGGCTGGGCGGAGCCTGCTGACCTCACCGTTGCCATGGGGACCAGCATCTTCCCTTGCAACACCGGAGACTGGGCCTGGACTGGAGGCAGAGAGAGAATATTCTAGAGATAATCCCTCCGCATTCTCCCACCCCTTTCTCTCTCTCCACCCACCCAGACAGCACCCTCCCCCCGTCCCCCTGCTGCTCACTCCCTCACCTCTGGGTCCAGGAGAGACCACTCCCACTGCAGGACTGGAGGTGTGGCCTGGGCCCGACCCGGCCGCTCCAGCCCCGCCCACTGTCTTCCCATTGGCCGGTGATGAGTGAGCGTGAGAAGGCGGGGCCGCGGGCAGAGTGAACTGGATGCCGGGGGGCTGGTGCTGCTGCTGCTGGGGGGAGGGGCTCTTGGTGGAGGGGGCGGAGCTCGCCGGGAGTGTGGGCAGGATGTACTGCACCTGCGTGATGGGCTTCCCGCCACAGGGCGGGGCCAGAGAGGCCGGGGCGGGGATGAACTGGGGCTGCAGCAGGCCCAGGGGCAGGGGCCCGTTGGAGCTGGTGCTGGGCCCCGGGTTCGAAGAGGGCTGGGGCTGTAAGTGCGCCTGCTGCTGCTGAGCGATGAGCTGGACCGTGTGCTGAGTCTGGAGGGCGTTGGCGAAG